TTAGGACGGCTCAGATGTGACACAGGTCTTGGAATTGCCAGACAGGATATGTGCATGTGTGTGTGTGTGTGTGTGCGTGTGTGCGCGCGCACGCACATATAAAGAAATTTATTTATTATAAAGAATATTTATTTATTATAAAGAATTGGCTCACGTGATTTATTCGAAGGAGTTGGCTCATGTGTTTACAGAGCTGGCAGCCCCAAGATCTACACACAGTGGGCAGACCCGAGACCCAGGATTGCTGATGGCGTAGTTCCCATCGGAAATCACGTGCCTCGGGACTTAGAAAGAACCGACACTTCAGCTCAAGTTCAAAGGCTTCATCCCGAGAGAGAGTAAAGGAAGGAAGGGTTAGGGGGCGAAAAGAGACCACGGATGTCTGTCACCACAGTGCAGCAATAGGATCTCTGCAGGAATCGGGCCCCTCTCAGAAAAAGGAGGCGATGAATCAAATGCCTTTTTCCTGTCCTCACCTTTTCCAAAGGGTCTGCTGCCTTTTTTTAAGCCTCTGAGGTCTAGTTATGCTAGTTCAGGATCAAAACAAAAGTCTCGTGTTCCTGTGTTTTCTGTGTATGGTACCAGGGCTGCAGATAAAGTGCCAGCGACAAACTTTCTGACTCAGGAAGGCGTGGCCCCGGCTGTCCCCACCTACTTCCTGTTTCCTTGTCTCACTGCCGTCGGCTGCTCTCCCCAGAGCAGTTCTTGAGCTGAGCTTTTAAACACATTTTGCCAAAAAATATAAGAAATGTTCTCTCTGTGTTCATCCGCTGCCAAGGCGGCGTACTGCGCCCTCCGCTATGGGCTCCCTGGAGCCGATAAGCCAGCCCTGGAAGGAGAAGCCAGAAATATTCCAGAATGCCCGGCACTGGCAGCTGGGAGTCACGGCTGTTCATCCTGCCCGATGGCCAGTCCGAGGGTGCGGGTGAGTGTGTCGTGTTTGTGTGTGTTGGTGTGTGTTGCGTTTGTGTTCATTGTCTTGTGTGTTTGTGAGTGTGTGTGTTGTATTGGTGTGTGTGTTGTGTGTGTGTGTGTTGTGTACACGTGTGTGTTTGTGGTGTAATAGAAAGAGCTGTGACTAAAACGTCATGGCAACTTGGTGCCCTTTGTGCCCTGCCTCGAGCTCACTGCCCGGCCTTTGGGGAGAGGCTGCCATGAGTTTCGCTTTCCTCCTGAGAAACACAGCAAGGTGACACATCTGCTCTGCGTCTGCGTGGAGACGCACACCATGTGGCAGAGGCGTGAGGCAGGGAGGCTGCCTCTGGGGACGGTCTCTGACCGAATGTCTCCGAGTGTCCTACGTGTTTCGGAAAAACAGTCACGGGACCGAGCCACCCACGGAGGACACGGAGCAGATATGCCAGCATGGGCTCCTGACACGGAATTAGGGTGGTCTGCGGGGTGAGTCGGGGCGGGTTGGAGCAAGGACCCATTGCTTTCTCATCGGAAGGATAACGGGAGGTCCCGGTTGGGGCGACATGGCCCCAAAGACTAGGAGTTGCTCTAGAAAATGTCATAACATGTGTTGGAATCTCATAGAAGAAGAAATGCCAGGGACATCTCGTTGAGGCCCAGTCGTCACACTAGCGGGGACACTGAGGCCCAGGCAGTTGGACCATCCTAACGGATGGTCGTGGAGGTCTCCTGGCTCCCGGAAGACTGTCCCCGGCACTGGGAAGTCCCTGTGCTGAGGCTGTTGGCCCCCTCGACTCAGCACCGGCCACCCGGCCCTCAGCCCTCTGCCATTGTCACTGCCACACCTTGCTCAGAGGTCAGTCCTGGACCCCTCTTTCTGGCACGAAGACCCCCCCCCCACAAGCCTGCCCCTGTCCCCAGCTTCCTGCTCACGCCCTCCAGCATTCTGGTCACACATCTTCCCACGGCCCTCGGGACACAGTGTCAGACGTGCTTCTGCGTCCCTGCTCCTTGTCCTCCTCACAGAACAGCTCAGGGCACTGTCCATCCAAATGCCACCCGTTCCTCAGGCCAACGGCTAACTGCATTTTCCTCGTGAAATCTCTTAAGCTCACGATGGAGACTACAGAGTAGGCAGAGACAGAGACATAGAGACAGAGGGACAGAGACACTGAGAGACAGAGAGAGACACAGGGTCCGCGAAGGAGGTGGACGGTGCCTCGGTCCACTCCCGCCCAAACCAATGCAAAACGCTTTCTTTTGACAAGAGAAAGGCGAAGTCGGGCGCCTCTTCAAACTCAGTGGGAAAGTCAGCAGGACATTTATTCTCTCTAGGAGGAGGAGGAGGAAGAATACGAGCAGATTCTCCCGGACGAGCTCGCGGAAGCGCCGCCCCAGCAGCTGGAACCACACCTGTCGGAAGGTAAAACGAGCTTCTCGCCTAAGTGACCTCGAGAGAGGTGGCCACGAGGGCGTTTGACGTGCCCGGTGCTCAGAGAGGCGGAGAGTTCAACCCAGAGACGTGCCCCGCATGGGCGGCCGTGCGAGGGCCTTTGGGTGCAGCCTTCTCTGCTCCCCCCGTCCCACCCCTCCGCCAAGTATGAGGGGAAGGCCCCAGCAGGCACCGTGGGAGAAAGGAGGCATGAGAGAGCTCCAGTCACCCCCTTTACTCCCTCTGTGCCAGTCCCCACTCCAGGGGCTGGGTGTGCAACATGACTCGCCTGGCCGAGGCTTGGCAGCCAGGGGACCGTGCCGGAGCTCGGCTGGTCCGGATATGGGAGCACTTGGGGTCACCGGCGCTGCAAAGCAGCACAGGGACAAGCAGGGTGTGCTTGGCCGCTGGCTCAGACCTGGCCCGGGCCTTTACCAGGGGGTCTGGCCCGCAAAAGCTGCTATATACCCCGAAGAATCGAAAGCGGGGCCTCGGACGGGCATTTGTGCACGAACGTTCACCGCAGCATTATTCACAATAGCAAAAGGGTGGAAACCACTCAAGTGTCCCTTATGTGAATAGACGAAACGTGGTCTGTCCTTCCAATGGAATATTATTCGGCCATGAAAAGGGAAACCCTGACACGTGCGACAGCACAGACGAACCTCAACAACACTATGTCGAGCAAAATAAACCAGACACGAAAGCTCAAATATTGCAGGATGCCGCTTTTCTGAGGTCCCTAGAATAGCAACATTTATAGAGATAGAAAGTGGCCTAGGGGCTGCGGGCGGGGAGAACGAGGAGTTTTTGTTTCATGGGGACAGAGTTTCGGTTTGGGATGATGGAGAAATTCTTGAGATGCGCCACTGATGATCACGCCATGAGGTGAAAGTCAGTACATCATGCCCAGGGCAGGTCTCGGTCGCAGAGGTTGGTGTTCGTCCCTCCATCCAGGACGGTCTGTCCCTGAGGTCATGGGGCATTCCCGAGGAGGACAAGCGGGTGGGATGGGCTATGACTGCAACGTCTTGAGTTCTCTCGCTGATTCTAGGTGTGGGGGAGAAGGAACAGACCCCGAAGACACTGAAGCTCATCCTGGTGGGGAAATCGGGCAGTGGGAAGAGCGCCACAGGAAACAGCATCCTCGGCAGGAAAGCCTTTGAGTCTAAAGTCAGTGCCAGGGCTGTGACCAAGGCCGTCCAGCGAGAGAGCTGCGGATGGGACGGGAAGGAGCTCGAGGTGATCGACACCCCCGATGTCCTGTCCCCTGCGGTGTCTCTGGACGTGGCAGCCCGTGACTTGCGTGAAGCCACTGGCTTCTCCTCCCCAGGGCTGCACGTGCTGCTCCTGGTGACGCAGCTGGGGCGGTTCACGAAAGAGGACCGGGAGGTGGTCAGGCGCCTCCAGGACGTCTTCGGAGAGAGCGTCCTGGCCTCCACCGTCCTGGTGTTCACTCGGAAGGAGGACCTGGCCGGCGGCTCTCTGGAGGAGTATGTGCACGAGACTGACAACCAGGACCTCGTCATGCTGGACGTGGTGTGCGAGCGGCGCCACTGTGGCTTCGACAACAGGGCGGAGGGGGACGAGCGGGAGGCCCAGCTGAAGGAGCTCATGGAGAAGGTCGGGGTGATCCTGTGGGAAGCCGAAGACCGCTGTGACGGCAGCAGGGCCCGCCGTCCTCCCGGCAAGACGTTCTGCTCGGACTAGGGCAGGGCGGGCAGATACCGCAGGGCCCACGGCCCAGGGAGGTGCCCGGTGCGGGGTCCTGGCCCCAGGGGCCGCGAGGACCCAGAAGGCATCAGAGGCTGAAGAGGACACCCATTGGACTCCAGCCGGGGACAGCCGTGCCCTGCGAGCCCCCAGCAGTCCCCGTCCTCGGCTCCCAGGCCGCCGCTGGCCCCCTCTGTCCCATGGGTCACTGGCCACCCCCGTCTCCTGGTCGCTGTCCGCTGCAGCGACGGGATGTGGGTTCCGGAGCTCCCAGCTCACATGCAGCTCCTTCCTCACATCTCCTGGAACTCGGGGTGCTCCCTCCTCTGTACCCCGCCAGCATGCTCTTCTCACGCGGAGCCCCCCATCGCGTTGGCGGTGCGTTTCTCGAAGTGTTTGTGTCTGCTCTGAGGGAGCCGAAGCTTCCTGGGGGGCAGGCCTGCGCCTCGTTCATCCGTGCAGCCCCACAGCGTCCTGGTCGCTGCGGTCACCCCTTAAACGATGACAGCAAGTCAGTGTGAGACGTGGACCGGGCGCCCTCACACCTCTTGGGCTATGTCCTTGCCTGCGGAAGGGGCAGGCACGATGACTCTAAAGCTACGTGCTGTGTGTGCTGGGTCAGGACACTACTACGATGGCTCTGTGACACGTGGGGAGGGACAGCTGCTGGGCTGGGAAGGAAAGAGCGAGGGGAACGGGGAGGGGGCGGGAGCAGCAGCCCTTTTATTCACCCCGAATGAAGCCGTGGAATCGCAGCAGATGAGCCTGCGGGGACCTCCCGGGAACGAAGAGCAAAGTGGGGTGGGGGTGTCCCAGAAGCCAGGCATGGTCCGCAGGGCGGGCTCTAGACCAGGCTGCAGGTCACGGAGGCCCCAGGAGGTGTCGGATGGGGCCTGGGCAGAGCGGGAGCACCTCCCTAAGTGGACTCGGATTAAGGAACTTACACACCTCTTAGTCACTGCCCCTCTCATTTCATCTGCTGTCAGAAAACAGGTGGGTTTCAACCCTAGCTCAGCCTTATCTGCATGTCCCTCCCTCATCCCCTGACAGCGGGGAGAAAGCGTGGCTGGGGTGAGCGCCTGGGCGTATGAATGGGCCCTCCAGCAAGGGGCGCGGGGGTGTAGAACGGAGGGAGCCAGAGCAGAGAGGGGACCGGAGAAGGTAGCGGTTGAATGGCAGACGCCATAGGGAGCAGCCTGCCCGGTTGCCGGGGAGAACGGCATCGTGTGGGGGTCTCCCAGGTGGCCATGTGGAACGGGACCGGGACAGCAGGATGCTGGTCTGCTCTGGCCCCGCTCACGAAGGGACTGATGCGCCTCGGGCACACCCTGGGTCTTTGACCGACTGATGGTAGCAGAGTAGGAGGGGCCAGGGAAAAGCCTCACGACAGACCCCTCTTTCCTGTCCCCAAGCTGTGTGGCAGAGGGTCCCTAGCTACCTTCTCCTGGGAGGGTGGGACGTGGAAGTGGGGGTGACAGTCCTGGGGGACAATCGGAAATCGGAGACGTGGCCTCCGGTCTGTCTGGAGGCTCACGTCGGTCAGAGACCCTCTACCGTCAGCCGCCCAGCAGGACCTCTGACCGCCCGGACTGGAGGCCGTCGCCCCTTCCCGGACACGGTGGACTCTTAAGGAAGCTGGGAGCATTTCTTTTGCTAAAAGATTCAGACAAGTGTGTCAAGGTGGAACAGAAACTTGTTCTGCCATATACTTATGATGGCCGTCATGACGGAACTGGTTATCGAATAAGCGATTCGGTCCCCATGAACTGAAACACAGCATTTAGCATCTATTAAATTTTCATACGCAGATCCGTGTCAGGATTCTCCATTCTGTTTTCCTTCTAGCTTTCTACTCCTATGTGAATAAAATACTGATTTGATTACAGTGGCTTTGATTTCTTCGTTTTTATATTTCCTTTTTTATTTTCAGGCATTTATTCTTTTCTGTGAAAATTAAAATCGCTTGTTTCATTTTCAGAAAAGAATCTTACCAGCCTTCCAGCTGGAATTGTCTTACATGTAGGTATTGAGTTTGGGAGAATTGGTAAATATTTCAAGGATATACATGAATCAAGGCCATTTTATTTCTAAGTGAACAGACTCACAACTTCGGAGCTATTGAGTAAAAGGTAAAATCATTTGCATTTCCATTAGGATAAGAAGATAAATATCTCTTTGAGTGTTTTTGAACTCTGTTAGCTTAATGAGTTTCATAATAGAAAATACAAGCTTCTCACCAAATGCCACTTCTTTGGTGTCTCTAAATGGCAAGTCATTCAAAACATGTCATTCCTTAAAAATTCTAAAGGAATGACTTTTAATTATATCAACTATGCTATTTTCTCTTCTTTATTACTAACATTCAGGGAAGATGCCTCCCGCGGCATTTCAGGAGGAGGAACGGACGTGGCATGCGGTTCACTCCGTCTGGCTCGAGCGGGGCTGGCTCGCGGGAGTATGTTCTGTGATGTGGGCGCGACCAGGGTGGGCGGAGAGCGTTATCTCAGCCGAGGCTACGAAAATAGTGAACTTCAGCATTTGCTGTTTTTGAAAAATATCTCGACACTGGAGCCAAGCAGGAAAAACTGAGGTTTGGACAATGTGAAGAGCCCAAATGAGTAGCAGCTTCTTTCCTCCTCGGTGGGACGAAGCAACTACTACTGGAAGCTTCAGGGAAGGTTGGCAGCTCCCAGTTCTCCTGGAATAACATTGATGAACCACGCAGAAAATACAAAATAATAATAATTTTAAAACAACGGTTGGAAGGCACTGGGAAGTGACCACATACAGACAGACACGATAGGGAACTGGACTCTTAGTCGACACATCCTGTGGTCAAGACAAGGGGACCACACTGCCGCCACGTTTATGTGATTTGCCCCTGGGAGCACTTCTTGTTTGCTGACACAGGGACAGGACAGGGGCAGAAATCCACAGTCACCCAAAAGAAAGAGGATGGAGTAGGGGGACTTTCCGAGCTCACTTCCCTCCACTTTCTCAACTACGTGTCACTGTCCTCTATTTCACCCCATTTGGTGCAAACCCGAAATTCAGTTCTTTAGCTGATTTCCACAATGGCAACACATAGGACGCATTTTGTAGGCTTTAGCTTCTTTCCCGGAGGTTTTGAAAGCCAGAGGGAGGGGTCCCACAGGCAGCATCGGCCATAACTTCACCAAGCTGACCTCTTCCTTCTGGGAAGAGGACGTGTTTATCCCTCCACACCCCGGAGGAAGCTACTCTGGGTGACGCTTCACAAATTACCTCCTTCTTACAAAAGGCAGAGGGGTCAAGCTCTTTTGGGACATCCATTAGACCACTTCCTACTCTTATTTTTACTTTTGAAAAACAGGAACAGACTGTCTTCTGTCCCTTTTGGCCAGCGGTGACCAGCTATGACCCGCCCTTTGGTTCCTTGTTTTGTTCTATAGACGGACCAAAGAAGATCTGGCTCTCTGGTTTCGTCTGCTCAGACTGCGGCTCTTTGGTTGTCACGTGGCCCTATATGAGCCACTAGCTGCCTTCCATTCAGAGAGAAGAGTAAAGACCCCTAACTTTGGCCTCTGGTGCCTGCCATGGTCTCCACTTCATCTTTCCTAGGGAATCCTAGACTTCTGTGTGTTTACTTTCCCTTAGGAATCCTGGCAGGGAGGGAGGTCTTCTGTGCCCTAGGTGTACCTGGTAACACTCAGAAAAGCCTTGGGCGTGATTGAAGTGACGGTCCTTTTTTCTTTTTCAAACACAGGATATTTGCCTCAGTACATTCCCTCAGAGTATAATCCCAGACCGGCAGCATCTAGAACACCTGACAGGAATGCAGATTCTCAGGCTTCACCCCAGGCCCATTGAATCAGAAACTTTATATTTTAATGAGTCTCCCAGGTGGCTCTGACACACGCTAATGTCCCACAAAAATACAGGGAAAACCCTGAATAAGCAGCTTCTGAGACTAAAAAACTGTCAATAGCATTTTGTCAAAAGACGACAGCCCCTGACCTACGGCTTATTTTTGGATCCAGACTCAAGCTCTAAGGTTTTATTTTCTTAGCTTCTCCTTGGTTCGTGTGTAGAATGAACAAGAGTTGAGAATCAGTCGAAAGGTTGGTTGGGTGATTGACAAGAACGCACCACAGAGAGAGGGTGAAGCGGCTCCGAGGGGAGGGCGGAGCGGACTCCCCCAGGCGGCTCGAGGCACATGCCGCCTGTCATCTGCTTCCCGGCCATGTCCCCCTTCTTCCTTCCTAGCAAAATTATAATCTTGCTCCCCAAAGCAAGGCGCTCATGTGAAATGCCAGGTTGCCCAGCGTCTCTTACAGCTGGGCTACCCATAGGACCGTGAGAGATGAGCAGAAGTCATGTGGGGACTTCTGGGTTGGCTGGGCCTTTGAGAGACAGGTGCCATCATCTGTCTCCTTCCCTGTTTCTATCTGCTTTCCACCTGTAATTCGGACCTGAGGCTGAAGGTAAAGCAGCCGTCTTGCCACCGGGAGGACAAAGGTTACTTGCCAAGAAAGGTGGAGCAGGTAAGGAGAAAAAAATCAAGTTCTTTGGAGAGTTCCATGGGCTCTGGGCTTAACCACGGTAAACTCCTCCTTGCATCAGAACGGAACCCTTGGCTCGTTAAGCCACTTCGGCGACATTTCTCTGATGTGCAGCCAGCATTCCCGTCAAGCAGGGAATGAGAGTCACTGTCGGAGCAGCCACCAAGCATTTTAGATGAGCGAGAGCAGAGCTGTGGTGAAGTCAGCCAGCGTCGGGGCCCCCGCCCCCAGAGGGCACCGCCTGGACTGAGAAATTCACTCTGGGTCACACCACCCTGTGGCCTTCCTTGTTGGGGGCCAGTGGGACTTCAGAGGCCTGACAGGCAAGGAACATCAATCGCCCAACAAGTGGAGACGGATGTTGAGGTCGGGGAACCCCATCTTTCTCTGTAAACTACAACATCGTAAGGGCATTCATCCGCACTGAGGGAGAGAAACACAATGGCTGCGGGGGTCGGGGCGGCTCCCCAAATCGCCTCAATAGAGAGCCGAACACTATCTAAAGGAACTGCTCGACAGACCACATTGGACTGGTTTAAACAAGATGAAACATTTCATTAGATTTTTCTCTAGAAGTAATGGGTGGGAGCTGGGAAAGGTTTAAAAAGTTAAAAATGTACGTTTTATTTGTATATTCTAAATGTAGCCTATGTTTCATTTTGCCGTGTAGGCTGTTTCCAGTGAATTCTAGATTGTTCCGCAAGGAATAATTTACTTCAAGTCTTAGAGGACTCACTTTCACAAGCTTGAATTATTTTTGTTTGAATTATATTTAAAGTTTGAATTATTTTTCCTACAAAAGCACTATTACCTCAAGAGGAACTAAAAGTAGAATTAAATACAATAAAGTATTTCCCTATCTCATTATCCTCGCTCACAAATTCGATTTCAGAGATATAATACTTAAGGATATAAAGCAGAACCTATAGGAAGCACAAGGAGATACAGATTAAAATGCCTGGATAATAGATCTTAGTACACCATTTTCAGTACAAAATAAATAAAGTAGGAAAAAAAAGAGAAGGAAATAGAAGAATAAAACAACATATTGAAGAAAATAGATCTCGTGGATATATAGAAAATACACTCTCTTTGCAATAACAGAGAATATGCCCTTTTTGCAGACACATATGGAACATTCAGAAAAATGAATCATAATCATAAACATAGCAAACATCAGCAAATTCCGTGAAGTAGAAATATTACAAACGACTCCTTCTGATCACAACGCAATAAAACCAGAAATTACTTTAGGAAAAAAGGTTCTTCTATCTGGAAATTAAAATACCTCCTAGTAAAAATACCTCTCTTGTTGAAAAGGAAGGAAAAAATGAAGATTTTAGAATGTCTTAAAGATTACAATAATGAAAATATTAAATATCAGAAGCCATAGGATTCATTTAAAGAAGCGATCAGAGGAAAATGCTTTGCATCAAAGACTTTTTTGGTAAAAATAAAAGAATAAAAATAAATCCTCAAGTCAAAAAGAAAACAAGAGAAAATACAATTAAGTCAACCAAAAGAAAGCACAAGTATGGAAAACAAAAATTTATGTACTTGTAAAGAAGAAACATCAGACCTAATTAATAAATCAAAATCCTGGTTTACTGAAAAAAATGGAAATAGAAAAAGTACTAATTAGACGAAAACTCCAGCAATAACGAGAGTCGCGAAGTGCACCTGTGTCCTGCAGAGCGAAACCAAACCTATCTCACTCTTAGTGACTATTTTTGAAGGAATCGTGAGCTTCTTTATGTGCTGCTTCTCTTATTCATGGGCCTTCGCTAACTTATATTAAATGTACGGTCTAAAGTCATTTGTGTTTTGGGGAAGTAATGGATAGGTATATGTTCTATTTGGGTCAAAATGGTATGAGGCATGGAGAAGCCAATTTTAAGATGGCAGAGCGAGGGCTGGCATAGAGGCACCAGGACATGTTGGTATCACATGGAAGAGCGCTTTGAGAAATCCTAGAAATTATTAGGTTAGGAGTATCTGGTAGAAAAGTAGAAAATGGACAGACTTCAACTATTGTTATCCATATATTAACGAATTTTTTTTTTTTTGCACTAGGAAAACCACAGAGGTCTCAGAAATTCTATCAGAATTTCTATCAGCACATAGTGTATGAATCCGTGGAGGATATGGGTTTTGCCGGGCAGAGGGGCTAAGAAACGTGGCTCAAACTTCCAGGGAAAAAGAGAAGGGGACATGTCTTGAGGGTAGACCAAACCTAGCTCCAAAATCATCTTGAACTTTTACCAGAAAGCGAGATTCATCTCTGTGTCCTTAGAGGTATGAGTGGGATTTCCTAAGGTAAAACAGATGCCAGTGTCACGCAAATATGAGAGAACAGAAAAGTTTTATTACAATAACAATAAGCAAACAATTCAAGTGGGTGGGCAGCTCTGTGCGGATGACCCACAACCCAGTAAGCAATCAAGGTGCGGGGGATGGAGGTGGGGTCCCAACAGAAAGGCAGAGAAATGGTTATTCAGCAAATTGGTGACTTTGAGAATGGTCAAAGGCTCTCTACAGAGACATGAGAATACGCCATTGTTCTCTTATGGGTTGAATCTCTGTCTTTTGCTCATTCTGGAATTTCCCTTAGTTGAGTTCTGAGAAATCCCTTTTCCAGAAAACTCTTTGTTCTTCAGAGAGTGGGCAGATGATAAGGAACAATTTGAGTACTTCCATAAAAATTGTCATTAGACAAATTTACGTTCATCTAGAAAGAATTCTATAAGCCTATTTATAGATTACCTAATAGAAATAAGTGACTTTTCTAACAAGCCACATGGGTAAAATGATCACAGAGGTCCTGAAGGCAAAAATAAAGTAGTGTCAGAAGCAACAGATGAAGAATATTTGCCAAGCTGGAAAGAATCTAGAGGAGAAACTTTTTACTACACCCGCTAGTCCCGAGAGCGCGACAGACAGAATCAGATAGCTCTGACTTTAGCGAATGACTTATGTGGGGCAGGGGCACCCGGAAATGTGCAGGAAATATAGACAGATTTTCATTAAGCTTTTTTGTCTTCAAACAGACGTGAGAAAATATGAGAGGCAATCATCTCCAACAGTCTCACGATGAATTCGAATATTCCATTCTGACTCATAACTTCATCTCTGGCATTTTGCTGCCTTAACGCATAGATTTTCTCCTTTTCTGCCAATTCCGCCATCATCCGTGCCTTTCTGCTTCCCTGCTGCGGCTCGCCCTTCAGCATTCTGATTTCCTCTTCACACTCCCTTCTCATCTTCTCCAGCTCTGTTCTGTAATATTCTTGCACCCTTTGGATCCGTTTCTGAATCTCCTCCTCAGCCTTTTGGTACGTCTCATCCGTGTAGTATCGTCCACCATTTTCCGTCAGCACACGCTGGACCAGGGTCAGCAGCTCTTCCCTCTGGTTCTCCTGCTCAGCTCCTACGGCCTTATTGTTGAACGCGCAGTAGCGATCGCGAAACTGGCTCATGAGCTCTCCTAAGCCTTCCTCGGCTTCCTGTAAGTAATCATGGACACTCATGCCATCCAAGTCATCTTTCCGGGTGAATAAGAGAATCATGTGCTTCCTAGCTTCGGGCCCAAACATTTTCAGTATCTCTTCCGTGGCCTTGCGTTCTTCTGGTGTGTAACGGCCCATCGGGACCACCAGGAGCAGAGCGTGAGGTCCTGGGGAGGTCAGAAGGATGCCGCGAGCGATCTCTTTGCGCGTTTCGGCCTTGGGTAACTGGGTGTCGAAAATGCCAGGCGTGTCCACGACAACAATTTCTCTCTCGTTCCACATGCAGCTCCGTTTCTCAAAGACCTTGGTGATGGATTTTGCTGCAATGCTAGAATGAAACACTTTCTCTCCAAGGATGCTGTTTCCTGTGGCGCTTTTTCCTGCTCCGGTCTTACCCAGTAAGACAAGTCTCAGCTGCGAAGCTCTGGGGTCTTGGTTTCAGGAAACAAAAGCCACAGTGTTAGGATTGAACTCCAACTGTTTCCCCTGCAGCCCCGCCATCCACCCCCGCCCCCAACTCCCGTTTCCTGTTCCAGCTCATCTTCTAGCAACTGGTGCCCTTTTCTGTTGCCCGCTAGGGACCCGAAGCCCTGGGCCTCTCGCAGTTCTTAAGGAATGGGGCACTTTTTGGGGTTTCCTGGAGCTGCCTGCTTTGACCTTTGGTAGCGAAGTGCCCACGGAGGAGGGGGCAAAATGGTTTAAGACGAGAACTCTGAGATGACGCTGGTAGCTGTTCCTCAAAAGCGAAGGCGGGAAGTAACACACAATCCGACTTTGGGACCTCACCGTGCAGAAGGACAGAGTGTCCCTTTATGTTTCACGCATGCAACCGTGTCGTCAGGGATTATGACCCGGAGGAAAATAAAACACCTTACATTTAAAGTTACGACCTTAGTGTAGAAATCTAGGGAAATTTTTCTCTTTTAAACTAATATGTTGAAGGCTTATAGCCAGAAAGTATTGACAGTTCTGTAGAGTTACTCTGAAATCCCCTGCTACATAATAAATAATAATACTAACTCAAATGGACTAGCTTCAGTAGAGTTACACTTTCTCAGTTTTATTCGGTTAAGCATATCCACTTCTTAGGAAAGTTGAAGGTCAATAACAGGATAGCACAGCGTATCACCCGAAATGATGTTTTCAAAATAACTGTGTCTTAATTTAAACACCAAGTCATCTGCGTAGCTCTTACCATATTTGCATTCAGTAATTCTCTGCTTATCTGTTTAATGCGTCTATAAGGTTGAAATCCTCAGGGTTTATTAAGCACAGAGCGAGCCATAGAAGACTGTGGTGGCTGAAAAATGACTACTTGAGATTTATTACTTGTAGGAAAGTACCGTTTGACTATCGCCATGGGAACAAAAGGCTTTTGATCATAGGGACATAACATTCTGATAACAAGCTCTCTGCTTCTGTACTCCCCGCTTGCACATCCCAAGCTATAGGTTGACAGGTAGTGAATAGGAGAAAATAAGACCTTTGTGTTCAGACAGAATGAAGAATGGGATTTGGGGCTTAAAAACCCTGTACCTCTACAATTCGGTGCTGCTTAATTTGGGGTCTGTGTACCCCTGGCAGACCCAGCTGGCTGAATAAAGAGTGTGATTCCTATGACTCACCGATTCCTGGTGGTCCGTGTGTCTTTCGGGGGCTGGCGGCTACAACAAGACAACTGACAGCTACCTCTGGGAGCCCATTTCTCTGAGAAGGCAGACCCGTCCGGCACAGCCTTTGAGCAAGACTGTTCACTGGAGGAGGACTCGAGTCCAGCCATCTATCTCTGCTTTGAGATAGTGCATACGCTACCACACTGACAATATTATAGACGCTATTGTACACTCCACGTGATTTTTCAGAGATATCAGCACCATTGATACCCAGTTCCCCAGCCCCGAAATCTGGGGATCGCCCTTGATTCCACTCTTCCCCATATCCAGCCCCTTAGCACGTTCTTGGCTCCATACGCAAATCTGTCCCTTTCCCTCCATTTCGAAGACCGTTATCACCACCCATGCCTCAGCAGCCCCCTAACTGGTCTGTCTACTTTCATTCTGCCCCCCTCAGTCTAGTCTACAGATTGGAATCATCCTTTAAAAATATCCGCCAAACAGAAGAGAGATTTTGCAGAACCCATATTATAGCTTCCACAAAATCTGTAGTCAATCTTCCAGACACCTGAGGGCGAAGCTTTTGCTAATGCAGGGATTAGTAAAACCGTCCCTAAGGCAGAGTTTCCCACATTGGATCACGGGAATCCTGGGATGAAGAGCAGTAAATTTCCAGGGGCTGAGAGCACTGAATACGGGATGGCTAAGATTCAGGGAAAATGTGAGTGGGAGTTCAGATTATTACTTAGTTAGCGTCACAATGGAAGACTCGGGCCTGAGGGTCACCTGAGAGCATTAGCTGGCCACAGAGAGAGGGAGTAGGAAACTTGGGGGAAGTGAGACCAAAAGCCACCAAAGGCTCTGACACTGCGACAATTTGCTAACGCTGATCATGGACGGCAATCTACGTGACAGATTACAGATCGGGCCGTGAATTATTCCCATCTCTGTACTTGTGCCTCTTTGGGATGTGGATCGGCAGCTCTTCCCATCAAGATGCAGAGCCCGTCTCTCCAACCCTGAATCTGGCGAGGCCACCTGACTGCTCCAGGTGGTAAAATAGGGTAGGAAAAGCACGATGCAGGCAGAGACTCCGAAAGAGCTGATGCGCGGAAGCTTGCTTGATCTTTCGACTCTTCAGGACCCTGCATCTACTCCCTGAAGGGGTCTGGACTCACCTGCTTGATGCTGAGGGACACAGGGCCCAGTTATCTCTGTCACCCTGGAATGCCCAAGAGCCTGCTACCTACCAGACGTGTCCATGGGGCTATCTCAAATTATCCAGGTGCTGGATTTTGAGAGCATCATGCTAAGTGAAATACGTCAGACAGAAAAGGACAAGAACTGAATGATTTCACTCAGATAGAAAACAGAAAGCAGCAAATGAACCAACAAAACAAACTCATAGACACAGATAACGGTATGGAGGTTACTAAGGCGGGGCAGGGGCGGGGATGAAGAGGGTAAAGGGGGTCAAATACATGGTGACGGAAGGAGACTATACTTTGGGTAGCAAGCACACAATGAAATATATAGCCGATGTACTATAGAACTGTACACCTGAAATTTATAGAATGTTATTAACCAATGCCGCCCCAATAAATTTAACTTTTTTAAAAGATTATCCAGTTATATATTGAACCACTAGCTTACCACATGAATGAGTCTGGTTGAGATGAGCCGGTTTGGCCCAGACCCAAGAACTGCCCAGCTGACTCACAAAATCTAGAACCAATGCGATGGATGATGTTTCAGGCCACTATCTTGTGGAGCATTTTGCTAAGAGGGGAGAAGTCCCACTGCCATAGCCAGTTTCTATGGACAAGGAAGTCAAGGGACGGCCGCGTGAGAAGCCAAGTGAGTCAGTTTCCTGTATTTGTTGGTTATCGTGAGGCCACCGGGAGCAGGGAGATTAGCGACCTCAATGACTCTCCTGTCCTTCCTTCCTAAGCCTCTCCCAAGTGGAAGAGAGAAGCAGAAAAGCAAGCAGAGAGGATACGGCTGGCTGTTCTGGTGTGTTTGCATTGTAGGAAGTAGGAGGTAAAAAAAAATGTCGTCCGGCCTAACTCGATCAGGATATTTTAACCCCTCTTCTTATGCCGCATCACAAGGAGAAAGTGTTAGATGGCCGAGCGCATAGAAAGAGCAGAGTCAATGAAGTAAAAATAAAAAACGGGGTTGGGGACATTTTGCTCTTGCTCAGATGGGAAATGGCGGACAGGACAGGAGAACCACCCTGCCAGGTCCCCTCCCTCCAGCCTGGTGTGCGGAGCCCGAACACCATCTCACCGGGAGAGGTCCTGAGCTTTACACTCATATCGCAGGATTGAGCCGCCATTGGAGTTTGAATTCCTGTAGATGCAAAACAGAACGGTCATTATAAGGAGATAGAAAGTAACTGCGACCCGAAACCTCACGTAGCCAACAGCTTCTTCTTTCCCTTGAACCTGTTACTTGATTTCTCCTTCCCTATTTCCCAACACTTCACAGTTCTCCATTGCCAGTCTCGTTTCCAGATTGCTACATTTTTCCTCTGCACGAACATAAATGCTTCAAGCACTTCCTCAGCACTGGTTCTGGGTACCCTTTCCCCACCCTCTATTCGTGAATTATGGCCTCCAGTGCTGTCTGCACGCAGTGTGTAGCCTACACCTTCCTCAGAGTTAACTTTTAGCCCCAGTCAGCTTCTCCATCTGGCAAGTCCGTGGACATCTCGAACAGAACTCAGCCAAAAGGAAACCCTCCTCCCCCACATATGAATGATTCTGCCCCCATTTTGATAGATGGCATCACCACTCAGCCAGTGGCTCCTGCAGAGTCTTAGGGTCACCTATGCCTTTCTCCTTCACTTGCTCATTAGTCCTTCACCAAATGCTATGTTAATCCAAGCCACCGTCATTTGCTTGCTATGTAATGGATCATCTTATCTCCGATTTCTTTTCTACTCTATATTCAGGAGCTTTTTAAAAACAAAAATCTGATTTTTTTTCTTGTTTAAATTCCCTAATGGCTTTCTATTGCTTCTCTCTCTCTCTCTCCACCCCCTCCCCGCCCTCTCTCTTTTTGAATAGTTGAAAATCTTCGGAATGGTCCATAAGACCCTGTGTGATCCATTAGTCTCTCTCTCAAAAGGCTTTAATCACACTGCCTGCTCAGTGTTCCCAGAATCTACTGAGCTCCTCTCAACTTCTAGGCCTTAGTAGAAGAATGCCCTCGCCTTGGAGCACCCCCACCCCAGCGCAATGCCCACCGTACCCCTGCTCAGCCCTCAGGCCCCGCTTCTCCAGAGAGGCTTCTCCAGCACCTCTGCCCTCAGCACCATCAACACCCATAAGACAGCCGAGGTGTGGTCCACTTTATGTTTGTGCTTATCTCGCTCCCAAGGGATCCCAGAGAGTACAGATCACAATAGGAAGTTGTTTGTATGCTTTTATGACTCTCTCCCTTTAGGCTGTAAGCTTCGTGATGGCATGGCCATCTGAATCTTATATGTTCCTTTGTTCCTGAGGGACAAGCGCCATACTAGACGAGACTGGTTCTCGATAAATATTCTTTTTTTATTATTATTATGTTTATTTTCTAGACGAGGCAACTCTTGGTTGACCACAGATTGCAAGGACCTTCTCAGTTTACAATCCCTTATTTTTTAAAAAAATTTTTATGCCTACAGCACCTAGTCTTCCTAGGTGGTCTCCCGTCCAAGTACTCACCAGGCCTGACCCTGCTTAGCTTCCGAGATCAAACGGGATGGGGCTCGTTCAGGGTGACAAGGCTGTAGACTTCAACAAATATTCGTTTAATAAATAAATTGATCGAAAAATCCCCCTGACTCTTGCCTTCTCTCTGGTCTTTATGTTCAGCCTACATCTAAAAGATTATCCTTTCCTTATTAATCAACGTTTTGCATCATAGAAACATAGCATTGTTTTAAATACTTTGTTTCATTGCTACCTATAAACATGGAGAACGCTGCTTGAAGAAAGCTGCATGAAGCAGACCTAAACTGGGAAAGGCCGAAAATGCTTGAAGAACAGGCTCATCTAATAGGAAGGCATCAGATACAAACAGAAAGACAGACACTCGTTTTGAAAGAAGACTTGTTTCTTTTTCCTTTAAGGAGAGAGAGTAGAAAACAGCTTCCTGTAAACCGGGAAGAGAAATCACAGAATTTTTACAAATTGGCTTTGGACACAAAGTGGATGCTGGCGATCCATATCAGGAGGTGAGGGACAGAGCTTCCCACACATCCTGGGGTTCTTCGCCCACCAGCTGCCCTCAGAGCTGACTCTGTTCACTCAACTCTGTCCCTGAAGTTTCAGATTTAATTACAAATTCTGTAAATAGTGAAAGGAGTCACTTATTCGTACAAATATTCTCTGATCAGCAATCCCTGATCAGAGGTATTAATCTGTAGGGCTCAGCCTTTCAAACATTTACAGCCTAAAAGCAGCAGAGACAGGAAACAGAAAGCAACGAGAAATATATTCTGAGAGCAAGTTTGCCGGGAAGTTTAAGGTACAGATTTAAGATACAGTCTCCTCTCCACCAAGTCACACATTTCCCTCCCTCACCTGTCCCCCAACTCCCGTATTCCTTTACCTGAAAAATCTGGGTCCAGCTCTCTTCTCTGACTTTGAAGGTAATTTTAAACAAGCACACCGAGAGGGAGGAGGAAAGAGAAAGTGAGAGGAGGAGCCGTCCAAACTTGCTCATGTAAGAGAACCGCCCACTAAAAGAACTTTTTACCAAGAAGAATTGCTTCATGAGGCTTAATATGGTAATCATTGGCCACATGGGCGGTCGAGCACATGAAATATGATGAGTGTGATTGGAGAATTAGAGTTTTAATTTTATTTCATTGGAACTAATTTAAATTTAAATAGTCACGTCTGCCTAGTGGCTTTTATATTGGATCATGCAAAGTCTCTACAGGGAGGGAAGAAATATGGGGTGTACTGTGAAGTTCTGGAAGAAACTGCTGGGTCAAAACCAGAGTGGCCAGTTCTTCTGAAAGACCCACTTCTCAGCACAACTGGCCTCACAGCCCAACATTTGCCCCTAATGCTTCAGGCCTGTCTCCGTGTAAGCAACTCCCACCTCCTCTCCTTCTTCCCAATTATATGGGAGAGAGAGGGGCCTGTTATTTCAAGATGTGTTGCCTGAATCACCTGCTAGAAGCAAGAGAGTCTCGCTGGTCTTCATTTAACTAATTCGGATGAGCCCAAAGACACCCCGTGAGATGGTACTAGAACCATGTAGAATAACCTAACCATTGATTTCTTGTAGGGAGCTAAAGCTCCCAAAATTCAAAAGAGTGCATGGATTATCTCGGGAGGCCTGCTTGCATATAAAAGGGAAAAGGCTGGTTCTGTGGAATTCCAGGAAGAAGAAGATTAAGTATAGACAAAGGGAGTATCAAAGGAAGTGTCGATTGTACCTCCATCTTCAGGATGTTACTTTTATTATGTTATCTTGAGATACACAAAGGAACAGATTATGTATAAAAAGAAGCATAAGAAATAAACTCGGAGAGGCAGTTGTGAGATCTGTTCTCCCTCCTGCACCCTGTCTGTCTTCTCTTTTTTCTCAGTCTCCCCCATTCAGGTACCTGGTTTGACTTGGTCGGCTGGTTTCTGACAATTTCTGACACTAACCGCCATGAAAATGGAAATTGTGAGAATATTGTAATGGGGGTCCCGCTTCTCTAGAGACACGGATCCCACTATAAAAGGGATTTACGGAGGTCCAGTCAAGATGGCGTAGAAGGGAGACACTGCGCTCACTTCCTTTCACGACCACACCGAAATTATAATAAAACTACAGAACAACCATTACTGGGAGTCACCTTAGGTCTGGCTGAACGAAAGTCCTACAGCTGGAGACATACATAAGAGGTCACCTCAAGACTGATAAGAGGGGTGGAGACGTAAAACATCCAGGTCCCATACTCACGTTGGCAGTTGAGCATTGGGAGGGACGTCTCGGCTGCAAAGCACACTCCCCCTGGAGGAACGAGAGGTCCCGGTTCCACACTGGACTCCCCAGCTTAAGGTTCCAGTGCCGGAAAAAGAAATCCCCTCAACCTCTGGCTGTGAAAACCAGAGGAAATGGTGGCTGAGCAGGCCACGCGAGGACTTACTCGCTGATGGACTCACTCTGAGCTCTGGCGCCGGGGCAGCTGCTCGAGGAGCGTCGGGGACATATAGGGTGACACTGAGTTGTCGGGCTTTAGGGCGAGGGCTGGTGAGGCGGCTTTCTCCCAGGCAGAAGTGCTGGCAGTATCCATTGTTCCTTTGTTGAGCCCTCTCCGCTCTCAGCCTGCAGACACAGGTGGCCGCCATGTCTGATTCTCCATCAACCTGATTAACACAGGTCACCCTGCCCAGGTGATTCCTTGAGACCCCGCCTCTCCCAACTTGCTGGCCCATCCAATCCACCTCCAGGGGGTTTATTCCATACAAATGGCCTGACTTGGCTCTTTCTGCAGACTTTCCTAAAATCTGTCAAAGGCTCACAAAACCCAAAGAAGCAGCATCTGGCCTCAGTTTGCCCTGTACCTTTTGCTGAGCAGTCCCAAGCCCGGCACTAGTGGCAGCCAGCCTCAGTTCCTGGCTCAGCTTCTCAAGGTGCCTATAAGCCCAGCACTGGTGGCAGCCATCTGCTGATTGCTTGGTGATGCTTACCAGGTGGCCTCAGAAGTGCACAGGCAGCAGCTGAACTTGGCCTGCAGCTGGACCCCTCCCAGGAGGGCCTTGGGCTGGCACACCCAGTGGCCTGCATTGAGCAGGCTTGGAGCTGGAGTACCATTCAGGGCCACATCTGGGGAGGACACACTCAAGGGCAAATAGGGCAGGCACCAGAGCCCAGCTAAAGCTCTGTAGGGTCAACCCCTGCACAGCAACTGCTCCACTGGTCACCACCAGTCCTCACAACCAATGAGCCTGAGGGTCAATCCCTCCGCTTGATGAGCAAACAGCAACCAAGGCTCAACTACAACAGGAGGGCTCACATGACCCACACAAGGGACACACCTGGAGCACCTCGCTCAGGTGACCGGGGAGACTACGCCACTGGGCCCATAGGACACCTACTTCATAAGGCCACTCTACTATGACCGAGAGACTTAGGAGCCCTACCTAATACATAGAAACAAACAGAGGGAGGCAGCCCAAATGAGGAGACAAGGAAACATGTCCCACAGGAAAAGACAGAGCAAAGCTCCAGAAAGAGAACTAAACAAAATAGAGAGAAGCCATCTATCAGATGCAGAGTTCAAAACACGCGTGGTAAGGATGCTCAATGGCCTTAAGGGACGAGTAGACGAACTCAGTGCGAACTTTAACGAAGAGATAGAAACCATAAAAATGGAGATGGAAAACATAAAAGGGAACCAGTCAGAAAGAACTTTGGTGACGACATAAACTATTAACAACCTTAAAGGGGGATAAAAAAGAAGACGAAAGTTTCTGAGGATGGTGTGTGTTTAACCATGTGTAACTCTCCTTAAATCGAGGACCCGGCAATAGAATGAATCAGGCACTAAGGATAAGCAACATTCCAGAAGAACATAACCTGAACGACAAGGACGGCTAGGTCCCTAGGTGAGATAGGTGAACCAAAGCCAACCGAAAGAATAGGCATGGTGTGAATGCATCTCTGTGGTTCTGAAACCGGCGACTTAAAGACAGAAAGGCTAGAGTTCTATTGTGTCTACAGCTTAAGCCTAGCTAGGCTTGTATCATCCTCCAATTAATTGTGGGAGTGAGAGCAGAGATTGCTGTAAAATACAGCAGTTATTTTAAGTACCATTAGAAACCCCCAGCCATTACCTAGGTATTCTTTATATGGATTACAGGGATCAGTGCATATAGGATCATTCTGAGCTACGACTTGTTTTTGTAGCGGCACCCAGGTTTGGGCTAAATACTTTCACAAGAAAGCAATGTGTAGAGGGAGATTTCCAGTTTAAAAGGCTTATATTAAACATGAAAAACACTTTAAAAATAATCCTGCGAGATACCACATTTAAAAAGTGGAAAAGAAACAGCAAATTGGACTTAAAGGAAGGAGAATGAAGGAAACAATACAGGAGAGGAATCATTGAAATAGAAAACAGAAAAACAATCATGAAAACAAAAGCCGAGTCTTTGAAAATAAAGAAATTGACAAGCGTCTACCTACACGAATTTAAAAAAGGTAAAAATATACAAATCATCGCTATCAGGAATGGAAGAGGGAATATCACTGTAAATCGTACAGATATTGGAGGGAAACAACAGACAGTCATGAGCAACTTTATGCCAGTAAATTCAACCGTATAGGTGGATCCCTTGAAAAGCACAAGTTAGCAAGAGCGACCCCCCCAAAAAATAAAAAATTGGAAAAGCCCTATATCAAAGAAAAAAATCAAAAAACAAACAAACAAAAAACAAAAAATAAATAAAAATAAAAACACCGGGACAAAATGAATTCGTTGGTAAATGTCAGTGAACATTTAAGTAAAAAAGTTGTATGATATTAATCTAACACACACTTAGAAAATAAAAGACAAGAGAACACATCCCATTTTATTTTAGGAGGCTGAACATACCATGAAAGCAGATGCAGACATCCCAAGAAAAAGAGCTACAGACCAACGTCCTTAATGGAAATCGATACATACGATCTTTCTTATCTGTAGAAACTAAAAAAATAACAAAAACCAGCTCATATGAATCCAGAAAGCAGATTGGCAGTTGTCAGAGGTGAGGGGGTGGAAGAAATGGTCAGAGGATCAAGAATTAAAAAATAAAATAAAAACTAAAATGAAAACATGTTGCAACGTGTACACGCAAATGCAAGCTACTGGGAAATACCAAGACTAGTGGGAATAATTTTTAAAAATTGATCACTGGCTCTACTAAATAAAGGAATGAATTCTATTTTTGGTAAATAAAATTTAATAAAGCTCGAAAATCGCCATCATTTAGGTCTGATTGGATGTCGATATGATCATCATTGGTGGCCAACTGATTGTAAAGCTGGCCACAAGTTGTCCTAACACTTCACCGCGATGCCCTTTCACACTGTGAACTTCTGTCTCTCTCCATCCAGAGACAGAGTCTATGTCTGCACTTTTCTGAACCTCAAAGCTTCAAAGGCTTTGCAGTTGGGTTCTCAACAATTTCCAGTCTTTTATGCATTTCTTGGTTTTGTTTCGTTTTTCTTCACATTTTGAAAACCCCTTTTCAACCCATATATTGATTTTCTCATGCACGTAAAAATAGTCGTACCAATTTACAGGAAATTTTGTGGTAAAGAGACCAGAGGGTGGCTTTCGCACACATCACAGCACGGTCCCCAGAAAGTCTGTGGTCTATCGTCGTCGTTCATGTGTCAGAATCTTCTCACATACTAGGGAGTGGAAGCATCGGCCACAAGAGGTGTCAACAAATTTCAGGTGATGAAGGGTGAGCCACGGAAGGACATCTGCAGTTAACACGACCCCAGAGAGGCTGCAGCTGAGGTGGCCGCAAATGTTGACTGAGGCTCCCCGGTGAGGTTCGGCTTCAGACATTTCAGCTACAGTGCAATGGGGTGCTGGGACTGCCAGCACCCCCATGTTTTTCACATTTTACTTGCTGTTTATTACTTGAAATCATGGTGTTTGTATAAATTTTTATTTTTAGTTTTAATTTTCCAATTTTGTTTTCACACTCTAGG